AGATGGGGGCATGGAGAGGGGGAGTGCCTGAGGACTCTAGATTCATGGACTAAGAAGAGAAGGACTAAGAACTGGTGGCCAGGAGCAGACTTGCAGAATGTGCCCTTTGGAGATGTAACTTATTATATATAACTGAATGGGTTTTTTGTTTGTGTGTTTTTTAAAAAGCTAAAGTGGATTGAGAAAAATACTGCTAACTGATGGTACATGGAGGGGATTATAATCAAGATAATGAAACAAGGTATATGATTTGTTGAATGTAAAACTGATGATATGCCTTGTAAACTTTCACTCAATATACAATAAAAACCTAAAAAAAAAAAAAAGCTTGTGTTAAAACACAACATTGACAAGATGTGGGAGGGGCATAGGCATAGGCAGGCCTTGCTCTGCTCCACAAGATCCCTCCCCCCAGAATAAAGAAGTACAAAGGACAGGAAAGAGTAAAGAAAGAAAGACAGAGAGAGAGAGAAAGAAACAAACGGAACAAGATAAAAGGGGACTGGGCAAGAGAAGAACTAACAAGAAAAATAAAGGAAAGAAAAAAAAAAAATAATAGCATTTCAGCACTGAAAATGACCAGCCACTAGATGGAGGGGGATGGAGACACGTCTGTGTAAAATAAGGGAAAATGTCACACCTCTTTTGTCACTGATCACTGATGTGGATGCTGGTGCAATCCTTGGTAAATAGAGTTGGTTATCTGGTCCCTGCTCTAATTGTTTGTTAAAATTCAAATGGTCACACTGTGCCAGCTAGCAGTTTACCACTCTTTGGTCATTGTGTTTGTTTAGTGTCATCCTCTCATTGGTATTCTATCTGCTTCTTTATCCTTTCCCTTGAAACTCTGGGTTCCGGTAATGTCATCTGTTTCTGTTTCACGGATTCCTCAAATCTGGTGTAAAGGGTCTGGATAGTGTACCTGCTGAGCCCACCATCTTGGATCCACCCCAACCCCAGAGAGTTGATGTCCCACCCCCCTCCTTGAGGGCAGAGTGGTTGTCTGTGTCTGTTACAACAAGTGCCTGAACTCACAATAGCCGGTGTCAAGAGAGGGTTTCTCTAAGAGCAGAATTGCTAGCACCCTTGTTGGCAGTGACTAGAGAGCTGGGCTAAGGAAGGCGGGAAGGGGAGAGGTTCATCAGTTGTCCTCTCATGTGCATGTCTGGATGTTTATACCCCGTGTCTTCATTCCTTTCCAGCATCAGCGATCCATTCATTTTCAGTATGTGCAGCAAAGACATGTCCTGTGACCATTACTCGTGCCAGCGCCACAGCTATGCAGACATCAAGGAGATTCACCGAACACGATTCCTCATGCAGGTATGCCTTCTAGGGTAGAGGGAGACCCAGTTTGTTCACAGGATGTATTATCCTCATGCCATTGAGGCCCTAGTCTCTCTAATAGGGAGCTCTTTCCCATGCATAGCCTAGTACCATTCCTGATGCATCCCATGGTGAGTTCCCTGGTCCAGAGCACTAACTCTGGTTGTGCTTTCTGTTCATTCTGTCCTTGGGTGCTTAGTGTTCCTCTCTCTTACTTGTCTTTTTTGGTCCATCATCTTTGTCCAGTTTTCCCCTACATCACCATGGATGGAGCTGCCTTGCAAACTTAGAAATATAGGGCAGGGCAACTGTCATATCATGGAACTGACAACTGATATTTGAGTTCTAGGTTTCCTGGTTTTAAAAACCCCGACTGTCTGACCACACAATTCTGTTCTGACCCTGGATACTGGGTGCCCTTCCTCTGCCTGCAGTCATGTTTCTGCATGATTCTTATCTATCTCCAAGCGCCTGGTCATTTTGGGGAGGTGGGGGAGGGTGTCTTTATCAGCCTCACCTCTGCAAAAGCAAGTCTGTGTCACTATCCCCAAAGAGATGCTGATGGTCTTCCTTCATCAGAGAGGAGGAAGGGCAGACCCAGTCCCTGAATGTGACCAGCTCTCTGCAGGGTCTCTGCTGGATCTGCAGAAGCCAAGCAGGGGCAGGATTCATTCATTCCTTAAGGAGTCCTCATGTTATTGTTAAGTGCCATGGAGTTGGTTCCGACTCATAGCAACCCTGTATAGGGTTTCCAAGGAGTGGCTGGTGGGTTAAAACTACCACCCTTGTTGTTAGTAGACCAGTGCCTATCCTACAGTGCCACACCAGGACTCCATGCATTGTAATTATTCTCTGTCACTTATGATGCTCAGATGCCATCGAGCTCCAACTTCCCTTTAAGTCAACAGCAGACCATGACTTCTTTTCCACTATATGTAGCGCTTAGCACATTTGGGACCATATAGTAATGACAGCAAAATATGTTTTATGATTATATGTCTACCTTAAAGATTCTGTTGTTGCTGCGAAGTACCAACAAGTTGTTTCTGACTCACAGTGACCCTGTATAAGATTTCCAAGGAGTGGCTGGTGGTTTTGGACCACCAACCTTTCAGTTCATTGTGAACTTGTTATCCAGTATTTATCCTATAGTGCCGTGACAGAACTCTTACAGGTTATGGTGGTGGCTGTGTGCCGTGGAGTCGGTTCCGACTCATAAAGACCCTGTACAGGGTTTCCAAGGATGTAAATCTTTACGGGAGCAGAAAGCCTCATCTTTCTCCTGCCAAACAGCTGGTAGTTTTGAACTGCTGACCTTGCAGTTCACAGCCCGATTCGTAACCACTACACTACCAGAGCTCCTTTCATGCAGTACAAAATAAGTGTCAGAGTGAGCTTCTTTTTCCTAAGTCAACAGTGATCATTTCTAAATGGTTCTTTAGCCTGAGAGTGGGTAGGTCAGAAATGGAAAGGCGTATGTTTACCAAGTGGGGACAGGACATGGTAGGGTTTTCTGTCAGACTGTACAGCCCTGAATTCTCCCTGGAGAAAAAACAGAGTCGCATTTAATGTTTTCCATAATGAGCTATGTCCTCCACAGATTCTACATTCACCATCTGTTTTGCACAGTGGATTTAAAAAAAAAACAACAACAACAAAAAAAAACCTGCAGTGGACAGGAGTTTTGCAATATCATTACAATTATCATTCCTCGTCTCAGGAGACTTAATGAGTCTTAATGGACAAGAGTTGGAAAATGCAATGCCAGCCAGGTAGAAGGGGGACATAAAACAGGTAGCAGTTATAGTAGTTGTGTCTGAAGGCTCGTGTAGTAGCTCTGCTGGTGAAATGATCAGTGATCTGAAAATGTGCTTTGGAAGCTTGCTCCACTTTTGATTTACTCTCACTATGTGGACTCCTCCATGCCCAAACCACACCCCTTCCATCCTCCCCCTTCTCCTGGGGATTGTTCTTCCCTGACCCCATCACATCCCTGAACCTTATCCCGTAAGTGAACTCACCCTATCCCTTATTACAAATCTGCTGCTTATATAGCTTAGAAATAGATGGGACAGAGGGGAAGAGGAAGAGAGGAAGGCAGGAGGAAGAAAAGAAAATCATGTCACTTTCTTTTATTGAGGTATTAATCCAACATGGAATCTTAGTGGTATAACAGTTAATTGCTTGAATGCTAACAGAAAAGTTGGTGGTTCAAATCCAACCAGTAGCTCTGCAGAAAAAACACCTAGTGATTTTCTTTCAAAAAGATTACAGGCAAGCAACCCTGTGGGGAAATTCTACTATGCACACATGAGAACGTTCTAAGTTGAAACAGTAGCACCTAGTAACAACAACATTATGCTGAAAATGGCTCACCAGACTACCGTTCACAAAACACCCTGTGCGTTTTAAGCCTGTGGATGTGCATAGGAGATTGCTTGGTTAGGAAGTTGCACCCACTGGTTCCCCTCACCCAACCAGGAAGTCAAGGCATCTAAAGGTGTCACTACACTTTCCTCCCTGTCTTATGTACCTAGGGCTCCTGTAGTAAGAACATGGGGGTGGGGGTGAGGGTGGGGAGTGGGGGTTAGGAGGCTAATTGCTATTGTAGACCATTGAGTGAATTCCAACTTACAGTGACCCCATAGGACAGAGTAGAACTACCGCATAGGGTTTCCAAGACTGTCGTCTTTACTGAAGCAGACTGCCACTTCTTCCTCAAGTGGGCCAGCTGGTGGGGTCAAACCATGGACTCTTCAGTAAGTGGCAGAGTACTTAGCCACTGCACCACTAAAGCTCCTTAAAGCTCTTGTCAGGAGGTTAGGAGTCTGAATTCCAGGTATCAGCTCGAAGAGAAGGTTATTCTTTGTCTTTTTCAGCTCCTAGTAGTTGGCAATCCTTGGAGTTCCTAAACTTCTAGATTCATCTGCTTGTCATAAGTGGTGTCTGACTTCCTCCTGTTTTCCAATTTTCCCTTTTTATAAGAGAGCCCTCAGTAGGGGGTAGGTTTAGAATTCACCATACTTTGAGTAAGGAGCTCTGGTAGTGTAGTGGTTACAAATCGGGCTGCGAACCTTAAAGTCAGCATTTCGAAACTACCAGCTGTTCCATGGGAGAAAGAAGGCCGTAAAGATTTACAGCCTTGGAAACCCCATACAGGGTCGCAATGAATTGGAACTGACTCCACATCTCATTAAGAGGGTACTTTGTGTGGCCTCATTAGCATAAAAATGTTCTCTTCTCAAACAGAATCATGCGCACTATTACTGGGATTAGGATTTCAACATGTCTTTCTGGGAGCCCCAGCTCAATCTGTGATGCTCTCCTTGTCCCTGTCTCACTTGTCCTGGGATACTCTTCAGCCATGGGAACTAGAGCTATTGTTAGGCCATGTAGCCTACTCCTTCCTGCTGAGACAACTGTCCATCTCTATCCCCATGGAGTGTGTACTCCTTTGGGAGGTCTGAAGTGCTGAGAGGAAGTGCTGCCTGACACGGAAACATAAATGATCTGCTCTGGAATGCTCTGTCACCTTGGTGCATCTTCATTTGAGAAATTGTGAAAAGATCCCTCAAGGAAGCATCAGGAGCAATAAAAAGGGTTTCTCTTTGTAGGAAATTTCCCTGGAAATCTTCTTCCAAAATGGATATTCCAAGTTCCTTGTCTTCCACAACAATGACCGGAGTAAGGTCTTCAAAAGGTAAGATTTTGGAAACCGGTTCCTTTTTACAGAAATTGGTTATGAATCTAGAGCAGAGAAACAAGACTGCTGATCTCTTTTCTCAGGAAAAATGCCTTCAACATGCAGCAAGCATTATTTAGGTTAAGCACTAGGAAGACTTACCTGACCCAGAGAGCTACTGAATCATGGCACAAAGTGGGGATAAAAGCTACAGAAACACCTTTCCCAAATCTTGGGAGATAGGCTCCATTTTTATTGACACTGTTTAGGAGCAAAACAACTACAGAAAGAAAAAAGTGTACAAATACACCTGCTCCGTATTTAGTGACATCTAACATTTACAACTATAGTAAAAAATCTAATATCCAGCTATTTTGTACATTAACAATGTACAACTGGCAGTAATGGATGTCAAGGTGTGCAAGGTGAGAATTACACTGATGGTGAAGGTTAAGATTATGTTTCAACTTGGCTGGGCCATGATTCTCAGTGGTTTTGAAGATATATATATATATATATAGTGTAATTTGACAGGTAAGTAGTAATGTAGTCATATTCCATTTTGTGATATGATGTAACATTTTGCATAATGCCAACTTTTGTATAATATCCTGGTCTTTGGGTCCTAACCAAGTTTGTAAGTGAGGAGTAGGGGTATGATGTATTTAATCAACTGACTATTTAATGGATCTTCCAGACTTGTTTAACTGTATTTTCCAAGTAATTTTTTTTGATGCAACCTTGTTTTTGATCCTTAGTGAGTACCTATTTTAGTTGTCTCAGTGGCATATTTTCTTAGAGAGAACTCCAAACAACTGAATATCCTAATTTTGCTCTGAACGTCTATTTTTCTTGAAGAAAGAAGCCTGCTATTTAAGTTGTCGTTAAGTTCCATAGTCAGTTCTGACTCATAGCGACCCAATATAGGGTTTCTGAATAGTGACTAGAGGGTTTGAACTGCTGACCTTGTATTTCACAGTCCAGTGCTTATCCTACAGTGCCACACCAAGACAGCTTAATTATTTAGATTAATTAGTCTAAGAATATTAAGCCAGTGTGTACATTTTAAAATAATGGCCATTTTTATTATTATTATAAAGGTATAGATAAATAGTCAAAGAGATTTGGTATAGAAAATCTAGAAAAGAAGGAATGTTTCCAAAGACAAATAGACCACAAGTGAGGAGTGGTTATGTTCGACTTCACTTTGAGCTGGAAGTTATATGGTGTATTTCATACCACTGGCCTGGAAAACCCCATTTTGTGCTTCAAGACTCCAGTGTTTATGCTATTTCTGCCAATAATTGGTGTCAGGATAGGTTTTGGGGTCCAAAGTCATGCTAGTGTGTAGGAAAGAATTCTTACAGAGAACTGTGAGTGACAGCTCTTGGTGTACCTCCTCTCACTCGGATGAGTCTCCCTAAGGTTATACTGTCAGTTTACCTCTGAAAATTATCTTCAAGGTCCAGGTTAGATCAAATCTTAAACATAGGCATATAGTGCTGACTGTTGGATTCATTTCTCCCCGTGCTTTATGTACATTAAACAATGTTTTTCAAAATTTATCTAGAAGTTTTGTACCTCCTTTGCTCAGTCAAGTGACTCCTTCCTAGCATAAACTCTCCAACTGTGCCCACCCACTTTCAGAGAAGACAGTTAAAATGACATTTGTCTGAAGAAGGACATGCTGGATGTGCCACAGAGTTGTTGAAACTGTCAACTGCAGTATCAAGTCCTTTTCACAGACATGACACCAAAGAAAGGTGTACCTTGACAACTATTGTTTAAATATTATCGTTGTCATGAGTAAAACCAAATAGTAATACCTAAAGGTGCTGAGATGGTACCTCAAAGGTACATGGAGGCCAGGTGATCGTTTATAATCTGGTCAGGGTGGGGTGAGGAGAGCAAGAATGACCCTGCCTCTTGCCTTAGTCTGCAAGCATCTCCACTGGTGTTAGAAGAATCCAGGGTCTACTGACAGAATTATCCCTTCACTTTATTTTTCAGCTTCTGCTCTTTCCAGCCCAGATTGAAGGGGAGAGGCATTACAGAGGACTCCATCAACCTAAGGTAACAAGGCACGGCCACATCAGCCCAGCTTCCTGGGCCCAATCTGACCCTGCTCTGATGTTCCTTACTCACTTGATACTATTTTAGAGAGTTCATGCAAAGAGCATCTGTTTGCTTCTCCTTTCTTATTTCTTTTCTCCAGCCCCCATCCATGCTTCATCCTGTTCCCAAAGTCCTTCATGCCAATTAAAGCTCTAAGAATAGATTTTATGTTCCACGTGCTCTGTGACTTTTTCACACAAAAATGAAAAATACAATTCTTAGTCTGTGGTGGTGGTTGGAGGCAAGTGATCAATAGGGGTGTTGACCCTTAAGAAGCTATACTCAAGCCCTCATGTGGGGGTGAGTAGCAATTCCAGACTTTCTCTTCATATTTCCAAAGTCCCTGAATGTTCAGAAACTCAACTAATATGTGAAGGTGTAAGGTGTACTGATCAGGTGCTAATTTATGAATCTGTAAAATGGGGAAACATTTCCAAAGTATGAAATGCCCCAGTCCTACCCAGAACCTCCTTTACAAGTACCTAGTTCTCTGAAGAGTCCATTGAGGATCAGTAGGAACTTTGATTTCAGTTAGGACGGAGGATGTAGGAAGAAGTGGGGTACTCATTTTCCCAAAGAGTATGTGGGGACATGGTAAGGGGAGAAGTGTCTCCAGGAGTGATACTCAAAATAGTTATGAGTCTGGACTATGTACCAAAATTCATACAAAAGAATTTCTTTATATCAAATTATGTGCTTATTTTATAAAAGGACTTCAAAAAGTTCATGGAAACTGGGATGAGAAGCCATTGGAATTTCCCATGTGCATTTTGAAGCCCCCTCTATGTAGTGCTTACTGTCTGACAGAGCAATAAACAAAATAATCAAAATGTCTCCTGCTTTTATGGAGTTGATATTTTGTGAGGAAAAAAGACAGTGAATAATGGAAATGTTTTAATGATTCAATTGTGTATATAAATTAAATATCAGTTCTGTGTTCTCATATTGCTTATGTTTCATGTAAACCTTAACATTCAGTTTGATTTTCTCAGCACTTTTAGTGCAAGATGGAGCCATGGTAAACTGGAAGCTGATGTAATTGGATTTCCATGCTCAATAGGTCTGCAGGAAGCAAAGATCTCCACCTTATAGCAAAGATTTCCCCTCAACTGGCTTTGTTCTCTATAGGCTCTCCCAGCACAAAGCCATCAATGCCTCTAATAGCTCCAGGCCTGGAGTTAACTACTCAAGAATCCCAACACACAGCAAATGGGGAATGCTATTGCTCAGCAGTACTAGTCAGTCCCTGACCTGATACCATATTTGTCGGGGACCTGCCTCGACATAGGGGTTCGGTTCACGAGGAGGAGATACCTGATGGCGATAAATATATAGCAAGAATACACAGAAAGAGACAAAGAGAGAGACAATGAGGCACCCCAAAGCCAGGGTGGATACATCACTGGTGGGCAGGCTTGGGACTACAGGCATCGTGACCTCTGCAGGCAGCAACTCACTGCCCTGCCATCTTTACTGCATGCCCTCCATCTTGTAATGCACTGCAATCTTTACTGCATGCCTTCCAACCCGTAATGCACACCTGGGGAGGCCCGGGCCTCTGTTTTATTTAGGGGAGGAGCTTCACACCAAGCTGGGAGGGACTTAGGCAAGGTACAGCTAACATCAGTACTTTTCCAGACATTCAGGTAACTTTACATCGTACTTTGCTGGTTCGAATTCCAGGCCAGCAACTTGGATTCTCAGGCTCAATTAACTTATCTATAGCCCCTGAGCTCAGGTGGGGGAAGGTGAGAGTTAAGGACAAAAGCTTGGGCGGAGTCCTGCTGTTTGGGCTTCCTGAGCCAGGTTTTCAGGAACTTGGCTGAATAGCTAACTAACACTTGGGAGAGATTCAGGTGGATGGCTTTTTTGTCTGTAGAACAAGGAACTGTGAAGTAGCTAAGATATTTTTAGTTAATCCTTTGGAGAAAGGCTTAACCTTGCAACCTTTAGTCTCAGCTTTAGGAAAATATCACATTTATCTGTGGATTATCAAAGGCTCCGTGTATTAATTTAATACATGTAACTGAATAATAAGATGAAAGCAATTTGCCATTAACTGCCAGTGGCCTCATTTGTTACACTCGGGCCTATAGGGCCTCAAACCTCTGACCAGTCTTACACGGTCCGCAACAATACCATAGTAGATTATGAGGTGGGTTGCTAACCACAGAAAACTTGGAAACTCTAGACAGGCTCATTATGAGTCAGAACTGACTCCATAGCACACAACCACTGCCACCAACCAAGTTAGGTAATGTGCCCATCCCATAAGTAATCCCAGTTCCTTCATTGGCCAGTTCTGGGTGGTATGCCCATCCAGCTTTTAGGGTCAGGACTACCCAACAACATAGAACAAACTGGGAGGACTGTAGTTCTGCAAGAGAATCAAGATGCTGTTATTAGAAGATAGTGAATACTAATGTGTTCACAAACCAGATGACCACAACTGCCCCATCCAGGGAGTACTCCCAGAGGCCACAATCTCATGGGCTGCATGTCCTCTTTCTCTGTCCCTGGAAAAATATGGCATCAACTGAACCCTATTTGTCTCTTGTAAAGAAACATATATAAAATGTTATGTGACATCATTCGGCAGCCATGTAACTGTCCATCCTAGTCTGATGGGCTCAGTCTTCAGGGTGCTTTGCCCTGACAATGCAAACCTTTATCCACAATGGCAAGTTGTTAAGTTTTCCATCCCAGATCTCATGGGACTATGGGAATATGGGGCAGAAGTAGAGCTGAATTATAGGTATGGCCACGAAGGTGGGAGACTGTGCAGAAATTATTACTAGGTGATGCAAAGATGATTCTCCAGTCTGTAGAAGAGTCAGATAATCGGCAATTACTCCTCAATCATCCCTTGGAATAACCATAGGCACCAATCTGGGTACCAAGATGCACCTGTAGGACAGCTGGACCCAGTGTTTGTTTCATTTCCACTGTCTTTGTTTTTTCCCATTGTGGCTGCTTTAGCCCATGGGATAGGGACTATCGTAACCATTTTATATCCTGTTTGGCTTAGTCCTAGCCCAGCTTTAAGCATGGATAACTTCTGCAGCTAGTTGAGAACAGTGCATTGTGCTGCGAATAAATGTTCATTGATAATGCACATGTAAGCAAACTTACTAACTACTGTCTAGTTGGCCCTCAACTTATGGCAATGATGTCGGGCCATTGTGATCTGTCGGATTTCCATTAGCTAATTTTCAGAAGTAGATCACCAGGCACTTCTCTAGAAACCTGTTCAGTATCATAGCAAAACTGAAGTCTCCAATGAGACACAGGTGATGGCTGTGATTGAGGTACATTGGCTGGGAATGTCGCCCTTAAGTGTACTTGTACCCTTCCAATAAGGGTGCAGACAGCGTCAGAGTGAAATACAATGTACGATTATTTTTAAGTTACCCAAAAAGTGATTTAAAGCAGAAAACAATAGATGTGGTCAAGTGCCTGAAATGATTTAGTTACTCTAATTGTCCTGAAGCAAAGCATGATACCATGTTGGGTTGCATTATCTTGTGAAAAATAAAGGGAAGCAGGGTTTTTTTTTGAAATTTGTTTCTAGAACATATTTTCTGATAATACTGAATATCAAATTTGTCTTTGTCTAAAGGACAATGGGAACAAAAAGAAGGCAATTTCTTTCTTACAAAATGTGCAAAGGAGTACTACAGACTCTAATTCTCTATAAAGATTCTCTCTAAAAGTGGGAAGAATAGTTTTTGGGCTTATTTCTGTACAGATGTGTCTTCAGGAAGCTAGCATGGTCTGACTCAATTATATTAATTTTTAATGATCTCAGTTCATATAAAACCTAGAGTTTAGAAATCTTAGAGAAATACAAAGTTGGGATGTCTGTCTGGCTCTCTTTCTCTGGAGCCCCCACACACCCTGGGCAGTGAGTTGCAGGGCATCCTTCCAAAGCCACCTCCACAGACAAGCTCTGGCATGCTGACACACTATGTTTTAGAGTCTAAGATCTCTGTTCTGGAGGAATTTGTTAGGAGTGACAGTGAGCCTGCTTATAACTAAGCCAATTACTGACAAGTCCATATGTGTCAGAATATGTCTGTGCAAAATAGGGTTTTCAATGACTAATTTTTCAGAATTAGATCACTAGGCCTTGTTTCCAGATACAGCTGGGTAGACTCGAACCACCACATTTCATTTAGCAGCCAAATGTGTTAACTGCTTGCACCACCAGAGACTCATATTTGGAATATACTGAAATATACTGTTTAGAACTAAACTAATTTTTGACACAAACTTTTACAGTTGTATGCTTTCAAAGCTGTTTCAATCATAGTTTATCTTTGAAAAATAATGAAAGAATGTTTAAGAATGCAACATTTAGCTATAAGGAGCTATGAAATTCCCACAAGAAGATTATCAGTCACCAAAATCAATCATGACCCCTCCAAAAGCGTCACTATGAACAGTGGAGAGGAAAAACTTCAAGAAAACCCACCTCTCATTGCAATGAAATGAAATACAATAGGATGAATATAAAACTGATGTTCTCCCAGGTAGACCACATAATTCACAATGAAAACTTAAAAAAAAAATAATAAAACCCATCTCTCCATTTTCACTTCTTCAGTACGACACCCAAAGTGGGATTGATTTCTGGCAGGCTGCAAATCTGTACTGGACATGATGACTTTTGTCAAGACAACTTTAGTTCTATAATTGAGAGGAGAGACGTGGCCCTTTTGGCTTCTTGGTAAAGCACAGCCTGAGATGGTGGCTGTGTGAATTTTACCATTCAGACCTTGGGGTCAAGAGCAACACTGCTGGAACCAGAGGGGAACAAGATAGTAGGGTACAGGCACAAATGGTAAAAGAACAGTTACAAAATGTTCAAATGTGTCTCAAATTGCTGAGACAGCAGAGCTCAGTGACCTGCAATGAGCTCTACCTATGTCAAGCTCAGGTCTCAGTAGGGCAACGCA